TCTCCAGGTCCAGGCCATCCCACTCCCTCAGCAGCATCCTACAGAAAGGAAAGTGTACTGTCAGAAAGGAGTGGCAGATTGGTTGACCCAGAGCAATTGCCCTAAGCCTTTACTCTCAGGGACAATGAGCTACAGATTAAGAACACAACCACTGTCCTAGCTTTCCTTCTGTTGCCATGATAAGCAGGGGGATCAAAGAACAAGCTGGAGAGGAAAGGGCTTGTTTAGGTTTACAGCTGACAGTCCATTTCTCTTTGCTGTGAATAGATACCACCAAGGAGACTCTTATTAAAGAAAAAGAAGCATTTAATTGGAGGCCTCCTCACAGTTTCAGAGATAGTCTATTGGTGTGGGAGGTCCTTCTGTCTATGTGTTGATTTTATTGGTTAATGAATAAAGAACTGGTTTGGTCTACAGTATGGGAGGAGGAAGACAGAGTCAGAGAGACATCATGGAGCCACCAGAGTCAGACATGCTGAAACTTTACCAGTAAGCCACTGCCATGAGGTGATACACAAATTAATGGAGATGGGTTAAATTAATGTAAGGGTTAGACAATAAGAAGCTAGAGCTAATGGGCCAAGCAGTGATCTAATTAATACAGTTTTTGCGTGATTATTTCTGGTCTAAGCTAGTGGGGCAGTAGGGAACCAACAAGCAGTCTCCTTGCAACAGTCTGTCAGCACTATGGTGGTAACTTTAGTGGCAGGCCAGCAGCTGTGGTGCTGGAGAAGTAGCTGAGACTTCTAGGCAGAAAGAAAGAGACTTTGGGCATGGGTTTTTGAACCCTCCCACCTACCAACCCCTATAATCCTTGTAATCAGTTCAGCTTCACTCTGGTGAATAAGCATTCAAATATAAATACGTGAGCCTATGGGGCTGTTCTTGTTAAAACCACCATGCCACCATCAAGGGAAGATGAAGGCAGGAACCTTCATATAGAAACTAAAGCACAGTCTAAAAGCTGCTTTCTGGCTTTCTTCCAAATTCATGTTCAGAGACCTTTCTTCTACAACTCAAGACGACATGGCCAGGGATGGCATTGCCATGGTGGGCTAGGCCCGCGACTATCAATCAGAAATTAAGAGCATGCCTCACAAACCTACCACAGACAATCTGACGGCAGCAGTTCCTCAACTGGAGTCTCTTTTCCCAGGTAAATTTAGCTTGTGTCAGGTTGGCAGCTGACGCTAAAACCTACTGAAAGGAAAAGGATAAACCCAGGATCCCAGGACAAGTTCTCAGCATTACAGAGATGTATTTGACCCAGAGGGACAGAAAGCAGGGATGAGGGATAAAGACAGGAGATACAAGAAGAGGGGAGGGGAAGCAGGGGTATTTGTCCCAGAGGGACAAAGGGCTGTCTCGGGCTAGAAGGGAGACAAAATGGCACATACAAAAATGGCAGTTTATAAAGATAAAATGAAAACCCCTTATCTGGATGAGGTGTTTAATTTTTGTTGGAACATATTAATTAGGTGAGCCAAAGGGAGCTTTTGATTGCTGGATTTCAATATTTCAATACTTTGATAGCTGGGCTTTGGTAATCAGCCTCAGGAGAAGGAAGAGGCCAAATAAGAGAATAGACTTTGGTGGCTAGCTTCAGGAATGTAATCTAACAGTTTTTAGCAACACAGAGGGACTGGGAGAAGGGCAACGCCTGCCAGAGCCATGTTTGCCAATCTGGGGTTAGCTAGAATCCCTTCACCTCCCAAGTTCTCAACCAAGAGAGTTCCTTTAGCAATAAAATGGGACAGAGGAGGGTTACACTGCCATTTAAAGGAAAACTTGAGAAGACTAATTCCTTTTTGTTTTTTTTTTCCAGATATAAAATTAAAGATGATCGTGCAAAGGGCCGAAGCTCTAAGAAATAGAACAGTCTCTCCCAACTTGTTGAAGAAAATAATGAGCTCCGTAAAATAATCCAAATTACAGGAAAGGATTCAATGTGAACAAGGGAGCAAGCACCACTGTGGAGAGGGAGAAGGCTATTTACACGCTGAAGGAAAGCAGAATATTTGCATCTTCCCTATTGAAAATGAAACCACTACAAGGTTATTCATGGGATCTCAAAAAATCAATATTATAATATTTCAACATTCTACATTCCCTGCAGGGTCAGCAAAACTGTTCTTGAGGCTGTAGGGACTTACCAGACCTGGAATGAAACCTAGGAGAAACTCAGCAAGTGAGACCTGTTTCTTCAACACTGTAAGCTGCCTCTCCCTTAGCTTAAATGCAGCAATTAAGGCTGTGAATAGATCCCTGAGCCCGCACTGCAGATGCTCCCTTCTGAGGCACAGCAAGCTGGGATCTGGCTTAAGGGATGTCTTTCCAGAGCACAGATGTCCTATTTCTTTTTTTTTTTAAGCTAGAGATTTAAATAAAGCGACTTCGATGTCATTGTTTCATAGGTAGAATTCGTGACAACACTTGTATTGTAGGACTAAAGATAAGTGTTCTTATTAACAAAGCAGCGAGGATATAATTTTAAAATCAGCTACTTAACCTCACGAGGAAAAAATGAATTGATGCCGGGCAGTGGTGGCGCACGCCTTTAATCCCAGCACTTGGGAGGCAGAGGCAGGCAGATCTTTGTGAGTTCGAGACCAGCATTGACTACGAGAGCTACTTCCAGGACAGGCTCCAAAACCACAGAGAAACCCTGTCTCGAAAAACCAAAAAAAAAAAAAAAAAGAAATCTGGTCTCTGTATTTAGGTCTCCCTCCTATAAGAGAGTCACTTGGGCTCTTCAGGCATGGGTTCTGGAATGTTCTTCTTAAAGGCTCGGTGTCCTCATCACCACCCCTGCACTCTAAGGACAAGTGAATCACATTTGTCTAAAGAGTTGAGATAAAAAGGAAAGAAAATCCACAGTCCACCTGATCCTGCCAGGAAAGGGTAGTCCATAAGTCTATTGTTTATCAAGTGTGAGATAGAGCAGGAGACACAGTTCACCTCCTGAAGCCCAAATTAAAGGCAAGTAAGGTCTTTCCCCTATAGATCTTTGGTTCAAAATATTCTCCTTTCAGCTTTCATGAAGAGTTACTTGGTTTTGGTTTGGTTTTGTTTTAACATATTGAAATGTATTTGGTGGTACTTTACTAAACACTGTGATTTATCTCCCAGGTAGGGAAATGTACCTTCCTGAAATGTATTCATGTTTATTTTTTCTCTTCTAAGCAACTACATATTTTCCCTCTGTAGAAAATACATAACTCAATCTCATCACATAGAAAACCTCTCCCCTACCCAACACACATCTTCAGGCTGACTAGCAGATGAATTTCTCAGACACATAAATCTTTGGGATGCAAATACCCAACTTCTTTGAAATGAGGTTTGTTTAGTCTACCAATTAAAATAACTTCAGCTTTGTAAGACAGATTTTCTACATTGTGACATAGTTGAAGACTAAGAACCCATGTCTCCTTTGGTATTGTCCACGAATTAAAGTAGAAATATGTCATAACATGTTCATAATAAAAATAAGATTATTTTCTCATATAGTTAAAGAAATGTGCATATCACTTAATGAATTATAGACAAAGACGCATCTCACCCAAAATAAAACAGAAGCCTTGGCCATCCTTATGTTGAGTTACACATTCTGAAACACAGTTAAACCAGAATTATAGTCATAGTTTCAAAACACATCATAACATTGTGAAGTATAAGATTATTTTTTTTTCCATCCACCAGTCGCCTGTTTAGACAGTTGTTTAACTCTGCTTTCCAGTCTTAGGGGAGGAGTATGGCTGAAAACAGAATTATTTGTCATTTGGTTTGCAAAAGTCTCAAGCCAGTTGAGAGATTATGCAGAGTGCAAGAAGCAGGTGAGGACGCCACCTGAGCTGGAGAGAGGACAGGTCTGGAGTCAAAACCAAACTGTTTCACCTGAAGTGATCATATATGCAAAAATGAGACAGTTCAGTAAAGGGCCTCCAGAGGATGCATGTTTGAGTACCCCAATACATACAAGAGCACAACGGTCATCTACAAACCGATTAGCCTTCTCTAGAGACAGCGTCACTCCTTTCCTAGTCCAGAAGACAACACTTCATCTGGATCTTTCCTTCAAAGTCTGCTAGATGGTCCCTCATGAGCGTTGTGTTGGCCCTGCCCGCAGGAGAACCGTCTCCCTGGGTTCTAGGCTTGGCTTAGTCTCTATCTCACACACTCTGAACCAGAGGCCCTCCTGCTCCCAATATCCCTCATCCCTGAAGGAAAGGCCTATAGCCCTATAACCCACATGTCTTTCCAAGTGGTAGAGTGCTTGTCTCCTGAGACCCTCATTCGACCCATCTACCGGTGCTGTGACTTAAGGCTAGGTCAAAATTAGTGCACATCAGATGTCCTAAAATGATTGTACGTTTTTCTTGCACACACTCATCCTCAGGACACATGGTAAAAAGTGTGAGGGAGGGGAGAGCTCAGCCTCTGCTGAGCATGTTTGCATGTGTGTGTTCATGAGCACACATGTACAATGTGGTTTATATGTACGGTGTGCGTGCTCATTTGTTTGAGAGTGAGCAGAGAACAGGAGACATTGAGTGTCACTCTCTGCTTTGTTCCCTTGGAACAGGGTGTCTCCCTCAGCTTGGGGCTAGGCTGGAAGCCAGCGAGCCACAGCAGTCTCCTGTCGTGTCTCCGCCTGCCTCAGTACTTCAGTCAAGGCTGCTCTTTACGTGGGTGCTAGGGACTTGAACTCGGGTCCTCATGCTAGTTCAGTGAGCTCTATCACCCACTGCATCACCAGCCTCGCATCCTGCATCCTGCATCAACTCAAATACACTAATCTCTTTCCTCCCACTTCTTTCCCTCCCTCCCTTACATTTCTTCAGTGTATCTGATACATCATTGGCGCTTCACGTATTCTGTGATACATTTGCCTCTATGGGACAAATCGCAAAAGTTTGATCAATAGAATATCTCAGTAAAAGGGGGGAAACTGGCCGATAGATGCTTGCATATAGGAAATAAAAAAAAAAAAACAGTACCTTGACTTTATCTCCAAAGCCCCGTCTTCAGAGATTGTGGAGCTGGCTCGTGAGCATAGGTTCTTAATTACGGAGACAGCTGACAGCCCCACAACCAAACATACTGCATAGTCCATCTGTCTTCTGCCTAGCTGTCTCTGTGTTGAATTATTTAGTTTTCATCATTTTTGATTTTGTAAAGGTTAGATGTTAGATGCTGATGGTAATATTAGAAGGAATGAAGAAATCAATCTTTGAGTCATTCTGCAGCCGAATGAGAAACACGGTGTGTCAAAGTTGGCCTTGTAAAGTCACATCTCCTCCAACCCTCAGAGAGTTTAATTCGAAAATTAGGTTTATCATAGTACTCACTGGGGGCAGGTGACTTGGAGAATTCTCTAGAACCTGGGTACTCAGAAGGCGGCAACAGTCAGCCCACGCGTGCTGTCATTCACGCGCTCCTTCATTTACTTGTTCATTCAGCAAACATGCCTCCTGCAGCTGCAAGCTCCTAGAAGGTCCACAGCGGGAGAGAAGCCTCGAGCTGTGGCTTTAAGATCAAATAAGGAGAGAGGGAAGGATTCCAGGCAGAGAGCAAAGCATCTGCAAAGGGGCAAGGCACAGCAGGGCATGTTGGGAAAACTCCAAGTATGTAGGATTGATGGACCATTGAGTGCCAGGTTAGAGACCAGGGGGAGCTGTGCCTGGAAATGACAGCAGGAGCCAGACAGTGAAGAGCAGTTTGGGCCACACAAAGAAATTAGTAAGATCACTGTGGCCTCGGTGGGGCAAGGTTTGATGTGGCAAGAAACGTTAGAAGTCTGTTGCTGGCAGCAACAGGAGCGATATTTAGAATCAGACTTTCTCGGCCATTTTGGTAGATGGAATAAGGGTTGATTCTTCACTTCGCATCTCAAGATGAGCATTTCAGGCCCGGTTCTGGCTCCTGCCTGTGTGGGCTCCGCACGTGTTTACATTCCACAGTGTTTAACTTGGATGCCAATGTGAGCCACCTGGAGCAGGGGCTTCTTCCTACCAGCCATCCTGCTAACCTGGGATCTGCGCAAGGCAGCCGCATGAGTCAACTGTAAGAGCTCTCGGACGAGCCATACGTGTTTTCTAAATGTCCAAACTAGGTTGCAAACCTAGTCCTAACCCTGAGATGGTTCCAGCACTGCCTCCTCGCCTTCTCAGTGGGGTAGTGATGAGTTCCCCGGTGACGTGAACAATCACAGAGCACAGAAGGTTGCTCAGCCCTCTTTTTTGTGGTTTCCAGTTTACAGGAAAGAGCTGTTTGCCATCCTTGTGAAAACAATACTATGTCACTGACTCCTCTACGGCTTCTGCGGAGCATCAATGTCCTGGTGCCGATGCTGGTGATGGGGAAAAGCTTCTCTCCCTCCTTTCCTCCTTCCTTCCCTCCCTCCCTCCCTCCCTTTCTCTCTCTCTCCCTCTCCCTCTCTCTCTCTCTCTCTCTCTCTCTCTCTCTCTTTCCCTTCTTCTTCCCTCCCTCTCTCTCTTCCTGTGTGTGTGTGTGTGTGTGTGTGTGTGTGTGTGTGTGTATCTGTCTGTCTGTGTCTGTGTGTGTGTGGTGTGCCCATGATCTAACAGGAAAATACAGTTTAAAATATCTGTGCTAGGGGGCTGGAGAGATGGCTCAGAGGTTAAGAGCATTGCCTGCTCTTCCAAAGGTCCTGAGTTCAATTCCCAGCAACCACATGGTAGCTCACAACCATCTGTAATGGAGTCTGGTGCCCTCTTCTGGCCTGCAGGCATACACACAGACAGAATATTGTATACATAATAAATGAATAAATAAATAAATAATTTTTTTAAAAAAAATCTGTGCTATTTGTGCTGTGGTATAAAGAAGGTATCTGTGCAAATGCAAAGAATCCAAGTCACATGACCTTCAGCAGTGGTTCAATAGGAAATGAGCCTGCTGCCAGCGCCAATCCCCATTGTGACTGTGTGGTAGGAAGGGATCTACATGGGTCTTCCAGCAAATTCTATCTGATCACCATCTGAGAGCCTAATCTCTGCACTTCCTCTCTCATCACAGTGCCACCCAAAGCCACTAAGTCGTTCTGTGTCCTCTCGAGTGTGCATCCCAGGGACACAGCCTCTCTCTTCTTCTGCAAAGCAGAGAAGGAACATTTACACCAAGTCATTGCTACCAAATGTCCCCACTTCACAGGAAACGTCAATGGAAAGTAAGAATTTCTGCATGCTTGGTCAACCAAAGCAAACAGATTGCCACCAGCAGCAGACACAAGAGACTGCTCATTTAAGCTCCAGGTTCTTTGGATGGCCTCAAACATCTCAGGAGCTAAAGGCAGAACTAAGGGAAGTGTGGCACTGGGACAATGACCCAAACAATAGGCATGATATAAACTCTTAGGAACCCACTGTCTGAACAAAACAGCTAAAACTGGACAGTTTCTTTTAGCTCTGTGGAAGAGTAAAGTCGAAAGGCTTCGTGGCAGGTGCCCAGGTTGGAGAAACACTCCATAGCAAGTCTTTCTCTTTCATGCGTGTGTTACTGTGACAGAGAAGCAGATTTTCCTGTGGGTGGAAACCATACGCTTTGGTGTAACAGCAGAAACAAAATTCCGCTCCTTTGTCACAGCCTGATCCTCCCAGCTTCCCTTCCATAACTGTTTCAGAACAGGTCCCAGGTAGATGCTGACTGCGGACCCTTCGCTTCCTAGATTTCACCCAGGAACATGATGTGGGGTGGGGGTAGGGGGAGCTGAAGGATGTCTTAGCTCAGTTTGATGGATCCATAGAGTGGTTATTTCACATGGGCTGTTGTTCAAGGCTTGTCTGGAATATCTATAAAACATGACAGAATTCGCTATCCTCCTCTGAATTCCCGCCCCCCTTTTTTGGTCAGTTATGAGGATATAAGCATTTTTTTAAGGAAAATAATTCACACAGAAAAAGCTTTTATGAGACCTGTCTATAAAGTAAGAGTGAGTCTGGGAGTCAGATAGGGAAGACTGTCTGTCTGACAAGCAGTCATTACTCGGAGAGCATCCCTGTCACCAGGCACAGGCTGATAGCTGCAGAGCAGCGCTCCTGATACCTTACGTTTCATCAAATCAGTATACTAATTATCTTAGTAAAAAAAAAATATTTCAAAAAAGTCAATCCTCCCCTACTTCATTTCACCTCAGGTTAATTTTCCAGAGGACAAATTCCTTAACAAACCACCCTTCCACCTGGGTGCTGGTGGGCAGCCCTTCTGTGTTAAAGTCAGACCCAAGTACTTCTCTGGAAGCTGCTCCACAGAGAGCAGCGGCAGGACTCTGTGGTGGATGCCGGCTGGGACCAAGAGCCACATCCTCACAATGTCGCTGAGGAGGCTGTTGTCCTCAGACAGGACCCCACAACTGCATCCGTCTGGCAGTTCTCAGGTGTAGAGCTTGCAACCTTAAATCGAACCTATGCATTTATACCAAATCCTAAAAGACAGATTTTCAAAGTTTGTTCCCAATGGCTTTTTTTTCTTTTTCTTTTTCTTTTTTTTTTCTGACTTTAAAATTCACAAAGTAGGGGAAGGAACTGGTAGGAAAGGAGGGAGGGGATATTATGTACAATAAATACAATAAAATAAAAGACTCAAAAAGTATGAATATGGCTAATTTTTATCTATTCAAACACTACATACTAGTTTCTAGATATTTTTGATAATTCAGACAAAAGTACCTTTTCTTCAAAATAACAAATTAGTAGAATAAGATTTTATCTTTTGCCTCTTCCCAATCTTCCACTTAAACAAATTGAAGATTTTAGAATGCCCGTATTCCTGAACGGTGTCCCACCGCAGGAGAATCACCTTGGTGACTCCAGATCACTGTGAAAGGATATAGAAGCAATTTCTAAACACAAGGCTATATTTGGGCTCACGGTTCAGAAGAGACAGTTCATGGCAGCAGGGAAAACATGGTGGGTGGTTACAGTTCCGTCCCGCCATGAGGAGCTGGTAGACTCTTATAGTCCTTGAATCAGAAAACAGAGAGAGCTTAGGTCAAAAACAAAGCAGAACTGAGCACTCTAGGTTAATCCCATCCCCAGCACTGATGTGAGATTCCCCTCTGTATGCTGTGGTTACCATTAACGAATAAAGAAACTGCTTGGACCTATAGCAGGGCAAAACTTAGCTAGGCGGGGAAAACTATACTGAATGCTGGGAGGAAGAAGGCAAAGTCAGGGAGAAGCCATGTAGCCCCACCAGAGACAGACACTGGAACTTTACCCGGTAAGCCACAGCCACGTGGCGATATACACATAGAGATGAGTTAAATTAAGATGTGAGAGTTAGGCAATAAAAATCTAGAGCTTATGGGCCAAGCAGTGTTTTAAATAATATGGTTTCTGTGTGATTATTTTGGGGCTGAGCAGCTGGAAATGGACAAACAGCATCCGACAGCATAGCACCCTGCTACTGTGCCTGTCCTGTCTTAGCGACATTTCCATTGCTGAGGAGAGATACCATGAGCAAGAAAGCATAGGGAAGCTCTGAAGTAATAAGGGCGGTGGAGGGGCTGCGTCCCCAACACGCCAGCCGCCTGCCCGGCTAGCTTATGCCCGAAATAACTACACACAAACTGTATTCATTTAATCACTGCTTGGCCCATTCTCTTCTAGGCTAATTCTCACATATTAATTTAGCCCATTTCTAATCATCTGTGTGTAGCACCCCAAGGTGCGCTTACCGGGGAGATTCTAGCCTAGTCCATCCTGGGTCGGAGCTTCATCCCGGGAGGGGGGCATGGCATCTCTCTCTGAGGCGTCTGCTCCCAAGAGAGCTGTGGAGTCTCTGAGCTCACTTCCTCTTCCTCCCAGCATTCTGTTCTGTTTACTCCTCCCACCTATCCTCTAACCAATAAAATGGGCCAGGGCAGTGCCTTTATTAGCCAATGACCTTCCTCCATCAAAGCTCTTTGTGCTTACAGTATTAGAAAGTGAGTCCAAGGCCATGATGGTGGGGAGCACGGCAGCAAGCATGCAGGTATGGCGCTAGTGCCACAGCTGAGAGCTTACAGGTAGAGACAATAACCATGAGGCAGGGGAAAGGGATAGGGAGAGAGACTCTGCAGTGCTTGGGCTTTTGAAATCTCAAAGCCCCTTCCCGTGATGGCTTCCTCTTAAAAAGCCACACCCTCTAATCATTCTTAAGAATTCTACCAACTGGGGACCAAGCATTCACATTTGCACCTATGGAGGCCATTCTTTTTCAAACTTCCACAATATGGAACCTTCTAAAAGTTCTATACCCTCTTCAAAACAGCACCACCAGCTTGGGAGCAAGTATTCAAACACTTCACACTTAGAACATGAAAGGCACTGGGAGTTTAAGAGCAGGGCAATCCCTTGTGGCATGGACCAAATAAAATTGTTAAAGGTAGGCCTGGGAATGGAGCCCAGGAGAGCACTTGCTTAGCACAGGTGGGGCCGCCATAGGCTCACATGTGAGTGCTTCATGCCCAGCTGGCAGAACTCT